AAGCATAAGCAAATGCATAAGGAAATGGACCAATCAATTTCCTTATGCTTATGCGTTATGCTTTATGCAAAAGTCTGTGCTCCGGCCATAATTCTCCATCTAATAGGAACCAAAATGGCGGATGAGAATACCTACATATCTAGTGCCTTAGTGAAATGCACCCTAAAAACAAGTTACGAGTCAAAAGAATGTAATTATAATTTTACATATTTTGTCATCACATTATCAAAAGCTCAACAATGTTAACACAGAAAGAAGATTGATATAAAATTCCAATAACAACACGCGTAATAAATAAGTCCATCGCGCAATAAATCCGGTCACATAAAGAATATATTTTATTTATATGATTTTCTCAGAAATAGAATATTACTAACCATTAGCAGTAAAATACTGGCCTTCCGCTAACAGATAAGCTCCGCCAATCTGCTTCGCCAAAGAACTATTAGCGCAAAGTTGCGCGTGATGTATTCAAAGTGTTTTTAGATTTTTTCCATTTGCTCCTGTAAAATTATCTACCACTATTAAAATTGACAATGCGACGTTTACGTGAAATTACTAACATGTTCAATATTTCATATAGGTGGAAAAAAGGATTTTTGTGCCACGACATTGCCATAATCTGGACGATGCAGTGCATACGTGACAGGTACCTGTGCCTGCCTGTGCCTCAAAGACGATGGAATGAACGAACGATATGTAGCATATGCACGTAAGTCTATCACAGTTATGTTTAAAATATTTTAAATAAAGAAAATCGAAAAGATTTAATGTGATAGAAAATCACAATAAAATGGGTCACTGTACATACATATAATAACCTCAAAAAAATTAATTAACGCCGAAATTTATTACCAATGTATTTTATACATTGATCTATTTCATTTTTCTTAATAATTCGGAAAGATTGGTTAATTTATTATAAAAAATGCAGATAAAATTTAAGCGCCAATATATTGCTTTCTAAAACTCAAGACATAAAACCATAATGCGCATTAATTATTATATTTATAAACTATAGTTATACATACAGTATAAATACATTTTGCAATAGCAAAATGTTTTTAGAATACTGTGAAGTTAACATTGCATTAAATCATATATATATATATACAAAATAACAGTGCAAATTTAATGAAAAGTGCTATCGTAATTCGTGTTTTGCGTTTAACAATATATTGCTTTTAAACGTTTACCATATTCAGTGAATATTATTCACGATACGGTGTTTTAATAATATGATATCTCTTGTTTTTAAGTAAAGGTGTGCAAAGTGTTAAAAGTATATAGCATTGGACACTTGCTTAAATGTGCAATTATGTATTATTTAAATTCAACATTTTTTACTTCCTTATCTTATCAATTTCCATAATTATCACTGGACAGTTTTTCAATGTATATCATTTTATACCAATTCCACATTATATGTCGGCTCTTATTTTTTTCAGTAATATAAATTGCTTCTTAACGTTGTGATAACATGATTCATGTTTTTTTTCAAGGTAGTGTTCAGTTATTGTAAACACTTTTAAAATTTATAGTTTTTTAATTATCTCTGATTTTATATAAATAGAATTTTAGTATTTTTTGCATTAAGCTTTGTCTATTGTTGATCAAATTTTTATTGCAATTTATTACATTACAATAAAAATTTATGATTGCAGCCAAAATTTGATCAGCGATAGATGAGGGAAAAAACTTATTGCGGAAACTGCTAAAGTTTTATTTATATAAAAAGTAGCCAATCATGAATTATGAAAGTTACTACAATATTTTGCGTAATATAAGACGAATTTACTTGTATTCAATATTTTACAATTTATAATACATTATATCTTTGATCGCTTGTTTTTAACAAATTTGTTTTATCAAACACTACAAAATAATATATTTTTAGAAAGATTGATATTACACGTTAACTCAATTTCTTAGATAGTTCAGAAAAACTTTGGTTTTTCTTTTCCGTCGAAATTGTCAAGATATAACCGATAAAAATTTATGTTAGATGTCGATGTACAGGACGTGTACTCGAAAGCGTGTCATGCTTTTGCGAAATAATATTGTTTTGCTAATGTTTGTGGCGTTCGCGCACCTTCGCTCATAAGTACGACGAACGACCGTGTTATGTAATCGCAGTCCATCTTCTTCCTTCGGACGGTAATGCTACATTTCGTAGACGGGAACAATAACCTCAGATGACGTAAAAAAGCGCGATAAAATCACCGATTGGCATGCGTGAATGCACCTGTCGCGCGAATACAATGTTGCTTATTATTACATTTTCTATTAATACAATCCGATGTCTGACGTACAATACGTTTTACATATTACATGATTACGTTTATTGTATCACGAAATTATTAACATGAATTATTAAAATCTTGCTATATATATGTAAAATCGATAGGCATGAAACCTTGTATACATCATTCAGTATTGATAGCTGAATCCTTTCTCATGATGCAATTATCGGTCGATGTTACAAATGCAAGGTTTTCAAGGCGTAAATATATTATTTGTTACTTAAATATTTATAAACAAATTAAAATAATTATTATTTGACGAAATAAGATACTCAACTTGTTTAATTATTTACAATTGGTATTTTTTATAGCAATAATGAGTATCAGAAATTTTTTTATTATTGTTATGTGTTAATATACATAAAAATGACAAAATTATATATACAGGGTGACCCATTTTAATCTATCACTCCAAATATTTCCGTTCCCTTGCATTTTACAAGAAAATGTTTCAGACAAATGTTGTATGGTTTCAAGGGGGCCATAAAATGATTTTATTGATTTGACCTTGGATAGTCGTTTAAAGGTCACACGAAGGTCACCTTTAATTTCTTAAATTGAAACCTCCATTTTTCATTACATATTCTTATAGCTTATTTTGAGAGCTTTCCAAAACACTATAATAAAGGTATTTTCCATTAAGTATTTGTCTTGTTGTTATGAGGTTTAAAAGTTACGATACTGCCGGCATTAGCGTTATCCGAGATAGTCTGCCATATCACAGATCTTCTTAAAAAAACTTTCTACGTATTGAGAAAAATGCTATGGTATCAAGAGAAATCAAACGTGATTTGACTTAAGGAATATTTTTCCAAACTACTAATCGAGTTCTTTTGTGTAACCAATCATTTTTAAAGGTCACATTGATTTCTCTTGATACCATAGGATTTTTCTCAATACGTAGAAAGTTTTTTTAAGAAGGTCTGTGATATGGCAGACTATCCGCTTACAGATATCTCGGATAACGCTAATGCCGGCAGTATCGTAACTTTTAAACCTCATAACGCGACAAATATTTAATGAAAAATAACTTTATTATAGTGTTTTGGAAAGCTCTCAAAATAAGCTATAAGAATATGTAATGAAAAATGGAGGTTTTAATTTAAAAAATTGAAGGTGACCTTCGTGTGACCTTTAAACGATTATCCAAGGTCAAACCAATGAAATCATTTTATGGCCCCCTTGAAACCATACAACATTTGTCTGAAACATTTTCTTGTAAAATGCAAGGGAACGAAAATATTTGGGGTGATAGATTAAAATGGGTCACCCTGTATATATATTTTATCTTATGCACATATTGCGCATGGTAATAATAACTAATTGTAAAAAAAGAATGATATTAAGTTGTCATAGCAATTGCCTGATTAGTCAACATCACAAATTGCATCTGTCAGGTATATTAGAAGTGACGTCATATATTGTCAGCAGATATTAAGCTGTCCGCTGATTGCATTGACGACACCAAATAGGTCGTAATTTTTGTTTGCGTAAAAGTGGTCAGAGAACGCTGATTTTCCGGTCAGAAAAAATGAGATTATATTTGAATTGGATTTTTCATATCTTCAAATACACGTTTATTAAAAGCAATTAAGAAAATAATCCGCGGGAAAACCGTTCATTACTTCTTGTTCTTATTGCGTAAAGGCGGTTAAGAGATATTAGATTTCATCAATTTTAATATTCAATTTAAGATTATTTTTCAATAATCTTAAAATAAATTTATACAATGCAAAATAGGTTACATAGCAAAGAAATAAGGACTATAAAAATATTACTGTGAGATATACGCGAATGTCAAAATTCGAAAATAAATATTGCAATTAATTGCTATCAGTTACATTTTAACTTTCTGTTAAAATGTAACTGATAGCCATAAATTTTTTTAGATACTATAATATTTTTTGTCACGCCAGCTGATTTGGAACCGGCCTAGACAGGTCTGCTCGTGCCCGCCCAATTATAATTGCAGAAAGTGGATGAGAGTCAATTAATTAACGATCCATATATTACAATCCAAACTAGGTTGTTAACACTATGCGAACGTTCTGCAAAGAGTTGAATATTTTACATTTATCATCTTGCTTCTTTAAACTTGAAAGACATAGCTGTTTTACTATACTTTTGTTCTGCAAATTATTAGACGTGACTGCAAGATCTGATCGATTTACAAATGTCAGATACTACAATTTTTTCAAGTTTTGCTTGATAAGTGTTTTATAACACGTGGTCAATTCCGATATTTAGAAACGCAGAAGGAAGAACGCTCGCAAATCGTCTTCGATAATACGTGCGTAATCATAATTTTGATCGTTGATAAATTTCTCTTTTTACAGTCTGCGTCATGTTACGTTGTTGTATTCGCGAGTGTCGGTATTATTAGATAAAAATCGTAAAAAATCTTGGTTGATAGTAATTTAGATCTTATTTGTTGCCACGTCACTTTGTCGCGTGCTCCAGGAAAGTTGTATATAAAACAATTGTCGCGTATATGTCGCGAAGAGAGGGCGTAAATAGAGTAGTCGGTCAAGTACATTCACGTGATTCAAAAAGACCTTAATTCATCATACATATGTTCGTGCTACTCTTGAAGATTGCATTTATCAAAGATACGGTTATTATTACATTGTTGAAGAAGTTGGTACCGCTAACGGTATTTGAAGAAGGAAGATACGTCTCACTTTCGGACGACTTTAATATTAAAGAATCCAAGCGTCAAGGTTTAATTACTTTTGATAACGTTTCGAGAATTTCTGTGCTCTACTTGTGTAGAAAAGAATAATTTTTACCGTTTTCTGTAATAATTAACGTGAAATGTACGATACGTATTTATAGAGAAATTATTTTAATTTCCTTGGTTGGCTCCTTAAGAACGTCACTTGCCGAAAATTATACGACATATTATCAGCGACTTATATCGGTCAAGGTTGAGATATCTGTGGGGAATTCGTTATATTACACTTCGAGCGAAGAATACACCGAGTGATTCTTTATTATGCGTACAGGAGAGCGTGTGTATACGTGAGTGTAGTTAAATTATACAGATTCGCGCGTAAGTCGTGCATAAATCGTTTGGCACTTTTCGCGATCTCAAGGTGAAAATCGAATCACGCGCCAATCGATGTACTGTATGGTGTATTTTAATCTCTTTGCACTTTATTTTGTCAATACTTACGACCAATTTTCATTCTAAGCGCGAAGCGTACAACAGAGTTATTCGTCGTCAATATTTTAATCGTCTTCACATTTACGTGTTTTATTACAACTTTGGTTTCTAGATTGCATCATTGCGCGGATCAAATCATTAGAATCTTCGAAGAATAGATTTTAGGAAAAGAATAGAATAGATTACGGGAAAACGAGTCGGTTTACGACAATACGATTGCCTTCAAAATTGTCAAATGCTAGA